TTAATAAATTATTATCATAAACTGTAAAGAAATTTAATAAATTGTTATTATTGCCAGCAACGATTAATGAATGACAACTAACAATATCGCGCATCTAATTAATTAATTCTTTATTTTTAATTCTTTCTATTTTTTTTACTTTAACAATTAATATCATATATTTATATCTTTTCTTTTTTTCTATATGCTGCATTTGATAATTGCATTCGAAATATAAAAGACGCCACAAATTTTAATGTTATTCACGTAGTGATGAACGTAGAGGCAATATAAATATTGATAAAGATATCGTTTTATGTCTTGAAATTGTGCTATCACAATGTGAAGCTTTTGACTCGATTCGCCTAAGGTCCAATTTACTTAATGATCGGAAGGCATTAGGGACAGCATTACAGACATATACGCACTCTCATACCGCTCCTATCATTCCCTTGTCTATGAAAATGTAAATCCCGATCCCGGGGGGGCAACAGGTGCTCGATATACCAGCCGCGCGATCCGGGCTTTGTATTCCTTGCGTCCTCTCGTTCTCCTGGGCCACGATTTTCTCGTGCTGCCTCTTCGCGTCGCCTTATGCGCTTTGTAATATATATTAACGTTTTTGTCGCATTACTCATTTTATGCAGTTTCTTATTCTGGACATTCCGTTCTTTTGCATTCGCGAGATTGCATTGTGAAAATAATTAAAGCATTTTAATAATGCGCGGTTTGCGATTAGCTCTACAAAAATTAAAAACTATGTGCGTGTATATGCGAGCGTAATACGGTCAAAGACTTCAGTTTTTGTAAATTTATTCGTTACTTCGTTTGATCTGCTTTTAATTATACTCATTTTTTTACGACACTGTCGTATTAACTACAATTAATAAATATGAATTAATTACAAATTTCACAAAATTTCTGAATATTTGTAATGCTTCAAGAATTTCTAAAAAAAGTTTAGATCTAAATTCTTTTAAGCTTTTAATTAATATACTAATTATTAATCAGAAAATTATAAATGCAATTTAAATTCTTCTTTATAAATTGTAGCGCTTGATATAATCGCTTACTATAATGAAGAAATAAAAAAATTTAACTGTAAGCGCTAACCAACATTGGTGGAGCTTTACTGCAGGTAACTTGATGCATAAAAAGTAGGAGAGAAGCGCTACTTTTTGTTTGCTTTCACGATCGGCTCGTTGGCGCGAGAGTCTATTTATGTAAAACTTTGAAAAGATTTCAAAGAAGTTTTTGTTACGTATCTCTTACATTCTCCTGTATACCTGTTGTATGTACACTAACTTTGCGAATAAATTACCGATAAAATACGGGATGATATATATACAGTGTGTTCCAGACTAACCATATCACTGAAGTCATTTGGAAATTAATTTTTATTTCCATTTAAATTTATAATTTTTATATATTCTTACCGTTTGGGAAATCTTAGAAATCTGCTATTAACGGTTAATCTGAGATATCTTGTAAATTTTATGTTATTTTGAAAGAAAAAAAATTGCATTGACTTACCGTTACGATGCGCAGCAGCGGAGTTTACAAGTTGATCTGTAACATACAAAATACATTCACAAATATAGCAACAAATTATTTAAAATAATTATTACGCACGTCAAACTTTTATTTATCTCTGTCTTTTATGCAAAATATAATAAAAGAATTATATATTTACATCTAATAAATAAACGTTAAAATGTAAAAAATTGCAAATTTTTTACTAAATATTTCAAAGTTTCTATGTGCGTTATAATATTTTATATATAATATTTTATAAATAACGGATAACAAATAAATGATTACTTACTTTAAAGTTGCTCCGCCGGCGCCCGATGTCCTTTCTGAACCTTCTCCTCCTCTCAGTCTTTTTTGTTGCTTCAAAGCACTTACACATGTTCGCGACGCGAATTCGTGCGATCTTTTAAACACTTCCGATGCGTACTTTGTTGTACGGACAAAGAAAAACTCGAATATCATTGCACGGATCACACGTTCGACACTCGGCCATAACAAGTAACAAAAGAGGATAAGGTTGAAAACTGCGGGAAGTAGTATACGGTTACCTTTGAAAAAAATAATACGTCGATACGGAACGCAATCTACCCCGTATAAGTGCCGCCGTGCGAATGTTAGAAGAGCAATAGACATCAAGGACAAAGTCACACCGATTCCGATTTCTCCGGAAGAATGCGGAGAAAAACACCATGTGTGCGAATAGATAGGTCGTGCGTGTGTTTGAGAGAGAGAGAGAGAAAGAGAGAGTGAAGGGGCATAGAACGCGCAGGCTAATTGTAAACACGACGACGTAACAACTCTACCGAACGCCGCGAGTCGGTCTCGAAATTCTTAATGTTAGAGAATTTATCGAATATTTCGAGGTTTATCGATATATATATATTTTATTTTAATTTTTTGTGGTGGGAATGCTAGCTTAACAAGGGTTCTAATATATTAAATGAAAATGCGTTTTAATCTTAATATAAATTAAAATTATGTTCAATCTCGTGTGTCAGGCTTTATCGAATTCACATACAGCGGCGTGTGTAGTTAACGACCTAGCGCGACATAGGTCACTCTCCTTTAATCCGTTCCCGGGTAATTTCATACGCCAACTCTCTGTAAACCAACTCTTGATACTGCGACCAGGTCGGTTGCGACTTTCGACTTCGGATGGCGCCGATCTCATCGGGGAGTACTCGTCAAGCGAGGGAAGTGATTGCGGCCACACGAGAGTCAGACCGCATGTCCGTAACTACTCACGGGTTCTGGAAAAGGACTTTCTCTTTACATCCCTCCCATCTCTCTTTCTCTCGCTCTCTTTGCTGTCCTCTTCCAGCAGTTAAGACTGTTTATTCGAAGCGCCGTACTTCGAAACGCGAGCAAGAGAGGCGGGACGGATTTTGCGGGCGCAGAAGGGCAAAGGGAGGTGACCGAAGCAAGGGATGGGAAAGTCGAAGATTAGAAGAGAGCGCGGAGGTTGGTGGACCACGAGGAGGAGCGCCGCAGACCCTTTTCGTGTTGGCGGGTTGTTAACGTCGGATGGCAAAGTTACAGATTGCCGCGGAAAAGAGTATACGTCGTTTCGCCTCCCTTCTTTGTCCGCTTCATCTGGCCGTTCGTTCGGATCGGACGGTCATCCAAAAACATGCGATATACGTCAGTATGTCCATTTCTCTTTACGGTTCTATCGAACGATCATTTTTGTATGGAAAATCCACGAACAAATCTCTTACAAATCTCGCGAGATGATGCTATTCGTATGATGCTCTTATCGTTTTTTTTTTATCAGTTTGTATTCTACGATTTTCAAATAGATAACAAAAAATATTATGCAAAGTGCGCTTCTCAGAAATTGATTTCTTATAACAAATCTAGGTCAATCGTAATCTTCCTCTTTCTCTCAACATTTTGTTAAGATAAAGTATTCATTTGTAATTAGATGAAAATCAAAATCAGAACTTTTCTTATCATTATCTAATCTTTAAAAAAAAAAAAGGTGTGGAGGTTTGTTTAAAACATTAATATTACAAGCAACTCTATCACTCGTTTATCTCGACTTTTACTCGCACGTGTAAACGTGAAGGCAGTAACGGAGTTTTATACAGCGTATCGGTCCTAAATTAAATCACGTCGATCTCGCGCGAGTATCAAGTAAAAAGCGCTTACACCGCAACCGCTGTCCGTGTCGGCGATATTAAAAATAATGGCGTGTGTGAAGGCGTAGCGGTATCGAGGTATCGTGCGGCAGCGGCACGTTGCTGACACGCGCGCGATTTAACGACGTTTCGAAAAATTCCGTGGCCCATTGATCCCGCGTTACTAGCTTGTCGCACGTCCCATCTACGTGGCGCCGAAAGTATCGCCGTTTTATCGGCCAGTCAGTAAATTCTTCCTCGGCGTTGTCGGCTATAGCGGTGTATTATACCACACTGGACGTATCGCGATAACTCAAATCTCGGGCTCTCGGACTTTCTCTCCCGGTGTGCGCCTCGTCGAATAAAATATTCCCGTTTCGCAACATCGGGTAGATCACGATTGTTCCCATTCGATCATGTGGCATTCTCGGATTATCTGAACGATTTCGTTCAATCTGAAAAATTCGAATTTATAAAATATTCGCGAGAACACATTTTTTATTCATCTTTTATTTTTTGGCATTTTACAGAATTTTCAATTTACTTTTATTCAGTCTTATGGAATCGGTTTTGGTATTTTATAGAAGTGACTTATTTTTAAGCATTTTTATAAGACTTCATTTTCTCGTTCCCGTATAAATCCTAACTTTACTCCTTTTAACTCTATGTTTGCTTTTGTGTTGTAAAAGAAATCACTTTGCAGAATCAAGTTTTTATCCTGCCGATTTCAATTTTATTCTAAGCAATTTATAAAATATTCAATTAATGGCAGGATTGCCGAGCGAGAAGGCGTATATCGGTTTCACGATATACGTCACTATTGATCGTTACGTCGATGCGTTTCAGCCGGTTACAAAGTGCTCGCGCACTCGGAATAATGTGAATTTGCGTTTCTGGCGCTCGGAATATCGGCCACGCCACGATGCGTTTAGGTGAATCCTCTCTTTCACGTCGGGAAAGCTCGACACGTGTCCCTGTCCTCTCCCGTCACCATCGACGCGCGCGCGTGTTGGGAAACGAAGGCAATTGGGACCGGATCTGAAAAATCCGAAGGAATTTTGCGAGCGCGTCCGGTGGAATTTATGGATGGCTTTAAATAGCACTCCAGTTCGCATCCGTTCTTCGTCATCTGGTGAATTCTGTTGGAAGGTTCTTGCAAAAAATAGTCGCGAGCGTAGTAAAAATAAAGACCGACATATAATTATTTTTATATATGTGAATTTTTTCATATTAATTAGATTTTCGATATAATACATATACATATTTATTCTATACTTTATTATGCGATTATTTTTATATGTATAATTTATATAACTGTAATATTGTTTTCGGATATCATTGTAATGTAAATGTATTTATATTTTACAGATAAACTTTGTGCGCGTAAAGCTATGAAGCATATTCGTTCCGTAATATAATATAATGCGCGTCGGGAGTGTCGTGATAGTTTCGTGTGTAATGTCGCAGCTTGGACAGTTCGATTTAATTCGGCTGCGACATCGGGAGTGCCGTTTAAAGTGTCACGCGATTTTCGCATTCGAGTACGCGCGCGAGCAATGCGTGCGCCGCGATTGTGTGTGAGTGTCCCGAAGGATCGCTGAGAGGAGGAGGAGGAGGAGATTTAAAAGGCATCGGACGACAGCAGAGCAACGGTAAGTAATTTATCATAAAAAGAGCATTTTTTAGTGAAGAGGCTATATGATATATAATAATGAAGATAAATAATTTTTGAACTTGTATGTATTTTTTATATTTGGGTGTCATGAAGATATCACGACACTCTTAAAGAATCCACTATCCGATATTTATGATTCGAATATTTTTCCACTCGATATGTAACGCGTTCACGTCGCACACCTTAACACCGTCGACGCGATTTTGTTTTATCGCTGGCTTCTTGGACGTTCGTCGAACCACGATAATCGCCATTCCTCAGAATGTACGCCTCGATCGACGAGATCTTCCAGGTCACTATCAAATTACTTATAGGGTGTTTTTTCAGTCAATCCTTTCATCTGGAAAAGGGTCGCGAGAATTAAGGGCGTTTATCTTCGTCTAAAAGATTGAACCACTTGGGAAGATCTTTCGATAGCCGATTGACGTAGACACACTTCGCAAATCTCCGGCGCAATCAACTTTGTTCTTCTTAAAATAAGAATAAATTATTTTATTGTTTCTATTCGTCAAATTCCTATTGCTATGCTGAAACTCTGTATACGTATGCATTGTTAAATCCTGAAATCAAGAAAATTAGTTCTGACTTGTCAAAACTATTACACAAGCGAATGCTGCTTGTTAGAATCGGTTTTATCCAGCAAACTACAACCAGCAAGCTTTCCGACTCAGACTGTTGCAATAGAATTTTCAAACGTATAACTCGGGAAATACTAGTTGAAATGCATCAGAAAAAGAAGCATTATGTTGAAAAAAGTATTTTGTCCTTTAGCAATTAAATTAAATATATTTTTTTGATATTACAGTAGATGATATTTGAATGTTAAAAGTTACTTAAAAATTTCGGAATTTATATTACACGAAAGCATAATTCATCAAAAATTTTCTTGAAACATTTTAAGCGAATAATGATTATCTCAGGCCGCCCGTCTCTGCAATTACGCGATAATATATTTTAAGTAACTGTTGGACCAAGTGCATCAGCTGCGGATAGCATTCGTATGATTAACTAAATCTTCTTTTTATCCATGTAAGCTGACAAGCAGGGAGAGAGAAAGAGAGCGAGTCGCGACCAACTTTAGTAAATCAAGGCGGTCGCACAGCTATGAATTATGATCTACAATCTAAATTAATTTCGCCCGTCACGCATTAATCCTCGCGAACTCCCGCGCTTTTTCAACTCTCCGCGCTCGCCTCCGTCGCGTTTGAAGTCCCTGCCACAAATCAAAAATTCCGTCTACCTCGCGAAAAGTCCCCTTGATGAAGCCGCAACCGACCCCAGCCAGTCCAGAAGTTAATGTCAAAAGAGCCGGCGTGCCGATTACGAAGTCCGTCGTGTTTCCTCATTTTGGCGCCGGCAAAAACACGACATTGGCGTACGGTCGCGCGGCGAGAAGCAGGCCGGGAAAAACGTCTGGCTCGTCGTCGGAAATGCGAAGGTAGAATGCTCGTAGGATCGGATAGTGATTTTTCCGCAGCGTGCACTCGAGGTGAAACATTCCCGTGTACACGAAATGTGCGGTCGTATGTGTATCGAGGGAGGAGGAGAAGAGGCGTGAAGGAGAAAGGGTGAATAAGACACGATCGCAGTTCACGAACACCAGGAGAATTAGTGAGCGAGAAGGTTACCGGAAGACGGGAGCAGGACGAGGGTGCAATAAGCGTGTCTTTGCCTCGGAGATAATCTCCCTCTCTCTAGTGTCCTTCGCTTTTCGACCGGTCTTCCGGATCGAGCGTCCGTTTCGCTCTTCGTTTCTCTCTTTTTCCCATTTTCGCCATCCTTGTTCGATTTTCACGAAAGTCCTTCTTCTTCTCGCTTTCTCATCTTTTTCCAGCAGTGACTTTCTTCCTCCGACTTCTGGCGTCCTTCTCGATCCTGCGTATCGCGCGCAACGCTCGTTGCTCCCCTTCTCCCTTGATCCTGGACTCTCTCCCCTCTACGCCTACACACCGCCCCAAACTTGAATCCAATTTTCCACATCACATCCCGCAAAAGTTACTCCGCGGCGGGGCAGGAAGCAACGCGACGCACGGCTCCCGCACGAAGGAACGGCGGAACATTTTTATCTTCTCTTTGCTTCTCCCTCCCGCCTCCTCCCTCTCCATGCTCGCCCGAAGTAAAACAATTTCGGAACATATTGCCCGAGTACGGCTGCGATCTCTCTCCCCTCGCTTTCCTCGCTCTCTCGCCGGGCACGCCCGTTGCTATGTCGTCCCGCTTATTCGACCCTCGTGGAAGACGTAATAACGCGTGTACCACTACCGTTGCTGTTCCCGTAGTTTCCCTTGTTGTCGTCCTTCGTCGTCTTTCGTCGTCCTTGCACGGCTATTGCTCGCTTTTTGGCACGCAAGAAGTTTCCTTCGAGAAAGGCGACTGAGCGAGCTGGCAAATTAGGGTCAACCATAAAATTAGTGGTTGCCTAATCCATTAAATTTGGAATAGTGGTGAATGTATAGTAAATTAATTATTTCTTCCATTCTAGCACGCTCTTTATTGTCCCATTAGGGCACTCTTTATAAGTATCCTTAAATTTTATATAACGTGACATAGAAATTCGCTAGAAAGCATTACGATAAAATAGACAGGAAATGAAACAAACTCCGGAAATCTATTCGAAATTATTAATTCGTCGCTGGTAATTCGATTAATGTACACTTGCACTTGGAAAGGAGAGATAATTAATTTGGAGTGCTACGGGCACAAAGTACAGTCGACAAAAGCCTGAGAATTTCGTCTGCCATTTAGCTTTCGCGGTTAGGCACAAGCCGTCTAAAATACGGTGAGCACAATGGAAACTTCGCGACGTGCCCAGGAGCCATCGTATTCCAAATATTACACAGCTAGTGGCGTAATAACGAACGGGGGTCAACCAGTCTGCAGGCATTAAATTTCTAACAACCCTAACTTAGTGGCAAGCGAATCCTGTGTAACGGACAACGAATACGAATGTAGCAACTTCACTCTTAAACCTGTTAGGAATCCGTCCCGAGTAACACAGAAATCCAATATGGTTATCTGATAGTGAGAGCGAATTTTCGCTCGTATTTTTTCGCCGCTATTCTGGAAATAATGGACGTTGCGATAAATTTATTTATAGAAAATCTTTATTGAATTTTGTAATGCGCCGTTTTTCCGACTATCGTGTACCGTGCGGACGGATATATTCGGCGCCGTCGCATTACTCGTTTCCGGACTAATGGACTGTATTTCTTGCTGCAGTGTTGTCATTTGCAACGCTTGCCGCTGGGTGAAAGTTCAACGTTGTCGATTTAAAATAATCGCCGCGCGACCGAAATTCGTTCCGCGTTAAATCCTACAAAATTGAAGCATTTAATGTATATTGTTACGTTAGATTTTACAGTTATTGGAAGGAATCGACGATGGAAAAAAAGATGGAAAATTTATTGTATTTTATTTCCATTCTTAAAACGTGTTATTCATGAAATGTTGTTTTAAAATCTTGATATTAACTTTTTTTATTTTATTCATATCTGACTTTGCATGTTAAATGCTCTTAAAAGCATGTAAAAGTTGAACGTAAATGAAATAAAAGAATCGCGAAATTAATCTTAATCAAATCGTGCGCTTAACAATCGTCAATAAATTTTAATGTATGACAAATGATTTAATGATGCAATGAATCCTGTAAATCCGCGCAATCTCGCAGACTCATGGATTCGAATAAATTGTCAAATAAAATAATCTCATGAATTATAATATCGACTATCCATCTACTATTATAACTAATATTGGCAATTGCAATATTATTTATGCATGTTATCATCGTGATTGACGGTTAAATAATTCTTCTTTCGAGTGATCCATTGTAGATTGCGTGTAAATGGATCCCAGGATATTCCCTGAAACGCGGGTTTTCAGCGCGGAGCTTGCGCGCGAACATGACCGGGCAGCGTCGCGAATGATTAACACCGGCTCGTTAAAATGACAGCAGTTCGCCGTGGTTGTTTTCCCGAGGGACGGTCAATCCTCTCGCGCGCAGAGTGTAGTTTGCAAAATGGCTGTCGCCGTGGAATATAAATTAATTTGTTAAAGTCTTTACGTGAGGGCCCGGGACAAACCACCGGAGGCGCTAACGTACAAATAATCTCGTTGGCGCTCTCGGGGCGACACACAGTTCGCTGCCGACCTCGGTAGGGTATTAAAACTTACGTCGGTGTTTTTATTTACGTTAAAATTTACATGGAAATTGTCCGCCGCGTCCGGCGAGAACCAGAGGCGGGACGCGAGCGGCAGTCGCCGGACAATTAAAACGAAACGCGAGTTGATGAATGTGGATCGCAATATTCTTGATGTATTCCGCGCGAGGCAAATTAAGATTTAAGCTCGATTCGCGAGAGTACACGGTATCGTAGAAAAAAAATGCAGAACACTCAGATGTACGTTCCACAGTTTATTCTACCATAAACTACAAAAATTTACTGTCGATAATTAATTAAAAGTATGAGTCTATGCAAAAATTGCGATTTTATTGGAGCGGAAAAATTCGGAAACAAATTTATTAAATGCAGCGAAAACGTATTTCATTGTTATATCAGTAAATAGAATGTTAATATAATATGTTAGCGCACAAAGTATTCATCGATATCCTTTCAACTCCGAATTGAATAAATGAAATAAATTTACGGTATCTCGTAACACCGGCTCGTTACGCCAGGATCGAGCTGTTCGGAAGATTGGATAGGATAGAAGCGGATTGCAAGGACTCCAAAAGGAGAGGCGCTGTAGACCGTACAGAGAGAGGAGCGATAATTAGTTCGTTAGGGGTGCTTTGATGCACCACCCTGCCTAACCAATCTAAACGCGCAAGACCCTTGACTTGTTTCGCGTTGTAAACGTCTGTGTTGGCCGAATCTAATTTGCTTCCGCCGCTTCAAAGACAAAAATGCATAAATAACATCGAAAGTTGAGGAGTATTTACGAACGCGATTTCTAAGGATTATTTTGAGAATGTGCTAC